ACAAGGGATTCTCCACAGCCATTTCCYTAGGATGGCCACATTTTTCTTTAAAATGTTCCCAATACCTAGGTCACCTTGCTCCTTAGGTTTACAGACTTGCTCCCACTTCACTAAATGATCCCTCTTTTATTGCCAGGTTCCCACAAAAWATCCCTCATTATCTTCTCTAGCCTCCTTGCTATTTTCATCAGGATCTTAAAGGTGGAGAGGAAATAAGTAGGCAGATTTGGTAGGGTGTATTTTATCAAAGTGATTCTTCCCCCCAGGGAAATATAACTTCTCTTCCACATTGCCAACTTCTTTGTGAATTTCTCTAAAACTGGCTTCCAAAAGCTTTYAGCTTTTGGGTTTCCCCCAAGGGCATACCTAGATATTCTAGAGGCCAGCTTTTCACTTCACAACCTAGCAAATTTTCCATGGCTTGGATGTCCCCCTCTCCTAGGTTTATTCCAGCTACATAGTTTTTTCCCCAATTCACTTTTAGTTTGGAGTCCTGCTGAAACTTATCCACCAAATTTTTCAGATTCCTCAAACTAGATTCATCACAACTCTCACAGAAAATGATTGTATCATCAGCAAATTGTAAGTGAGACACCACCACCTTTGAACTACCAATCCCCCAACCTTTAAACTGATTTTCTTGGTCAGCCTTGATGATTTGTCTACTCAAAACGTCAGCAACAGAGGTAAATAAGAATGGGGATAAGGGATCACCCTGTCTCAGTCCTCTTTTAGCCAGGAAGAAGTCCTTTGCTAGCCCATTTAAAAGGATAGAAAAATGTGCCAAGCTAATACATCCTTTGATCCACAGTCTCCATCTTTCATCTAAACCCATCTTTTCCATGAGATTCAATAGGAAAGACCAATCTGCCATATCATAAGCTTTTTCTAGGTTCAATTTACAAATCAAACCATTGCCACCTTGTTTTTTCTTAGCTGCCACACATTCATTTGCCACTAAGATTTGATCCACCTTGTTATGGACTGATTGGGGTTGTTTTTCTCGTTTGTGTACCTTACCACATTGAAATCCCCTCCCAAACACCATGGTCCCTCTCAAAGGCCCCTAACTGCATCTAGCTCTCCCCAGAAGGTATTCCTCTCTTTGTATGAGTTTGAGTCATACACATTGGTCAGCATCCAATCCCTTCCATCACTCATCCTCTTAGCTTTTATTGACTCATACACATTGTATGAGTTTGAGTCATACACATTGAGTCATACACTGAGGCGCCCCAAGATGGGGCAAAAGACCAACTTAGACCCCTACTACTCTAGATACTTCTTATCCATCTTCCATCCAAATCCAAAAGTTTTGTTTCCTGGAGCATGACTATAACCGGTCTCTCGGTTCTTATCACATTCTTGATGATTCTCCTCTTCTTTGCACATCCTAACCCTCTTACATTCCAACAAAGAATCTTCATTCCACTTTTTTGTCTAGACCCTTCCTTATTTCCAAGTCCTATTCTCCTCTCTTTTTCTCCCTCTTGTTTACTGTCTTCTCATAGGACACTCCACAGGCTAGCTTTTCCACCTCATTCATTCTCCTTTTTCTTTTTTTTTTATCATCTCTGCTTCCTTTCTAAGATAGACCTTTCCTTTGGTGAACTTTCCTCTAGTTTCTTTTTGTTCCTTCCCTTTTAGTTTGGGTGGTTCTTTGCAATCATCTTTTTTCTCATCTAACACACCAAGTTCCTTCCCCTTTTCTTCTGTGCCTACAATAGTTCCATTTCCTCCTTCTTCCTTCTCAAATTCCTTCTCTTGAGCCACATTCAGGATTACTTCCCTCTCCTTGTCTTTATCTCCCCCCCCCATCTTCTTTTCCTGCCGCACAAGGGTCATTATCCGCCACCGGTGAGGTTTCAACAACTGGATCTGCAAAAACCAAAGGCCGAGGATTACTATAAGGACCAATATCAATTGAGTTTTGAAAGGAAAGAGGGGAGTAAGAAAGGATGGGAGTGAGGGGAAGGGGGGAAGAAACTCCCTGATCCTGGTTTTCATCGACCACTCCAAGTACAACCCTTGATGGTTCGAGTTCAGGTTCAGTAACCACCTGTGCAGCTGGAGGGAGGTGTTCTTCAAGCGGTTCCGCATTTGGTCTGCAGCTGGTGAGGTTTCAATAGCTGGATCTGCAAAAACCAAAGGCCGAGGATTACTATAAGGACCAATATCAATTGAGTTTTGAAAGAAAAGAGGGGAGGAAGAAAGAATGGGAGTGAGGGGAAGGGGGGAAGAAACTCCCTGATCCTGATCCTGGTTTTCATCGACCACTCCAAGCACTACCCTTGATGGTTCGAGTTCAGGTTTAGTAACCACCTGTGCAGCTAGGGGGAGCTGTTCTTCAAGCGGTTCCACATTTGGTCTGCAATGGAAATCCCACTCCTCAAAACCGCTACCCTGCCTTTGTCCTTGACTTGTTTCTACTTTCTCCTCTCTCTGAGAATCATCTGAAAGGCTCCCACTTTCCACTGTAGAGTCACCATCCCCCGATTCTTGTAGTTCCAGAACTTCCATACTAGCTTCTTCACTAAAGAGGAGTTCAGTTCCAAAGACCTTGAGGTTTGTGAAATTACGGGCCTTTGTTGAGTCGAGGCTACCTATACTCGACGGATGATTCACTTCATCCTCTTTCACATCTCTCAAATCCTCCCAGTCCGAGTCATCTTCAGAGTCCCCTTGTGAGCCCCTATTGTACCGAGGGTTCGGCTTTTCAGGGGTCGTGGAGTTCTCTTCAGCTGCTGTCCTCCACTGTAGTTTCTTTCCTTGCGCGGATGAGGCACCTTCTGCCTGGGAAAGAGAGGGGGGGGGGATATCTCTGTTTTCCGTACCCATTTGGGGGAGAGAAGAACAAAGAGAGATTGAGGGGGATGACTACGATTATCGTCCCCCATAGGCGCAAAGGACCTTCAGCATGTTTCCTAGTTTTATATACCATTCAGCATGTATGTTAATTGAAAAAAATAGCAATTCTCTTTATTAAGAACATTAAATTTCCTCTAAAAATGTGGCAAATCATCACATCTAAAAGAGAAGGTTATTAGCCTTATGTGGTAAATATTCAAGATGGAAAGTAAAATAAAAAAACAAGGATGGAGTTTCTGTTTTATTTAATTAGAGAGAGAGAATAAAAAAAAACTTTACTATTCTATTCTTTCCTTCCCCTTTCTTTTCTTTCGTTCGTTCTTTCTTTTTCTCTCCTCAAAACCCTTTGATCTTTTAAATTTAATAGTAAAACATTAAAACAAAGTATAATTGATATATATATATAACATATAATAAAATGTATTAGCACATACATTAATAAGATACATCAATATAAATGATATTATAAAAGGCGCCCACCTTGACTTTTAGCAACTAGGCGCCCTTCTAGGCGACYAAGCGCCCAGCCAAGGTGACAAAAATGACAAGGCATTTGGGCGAGGCACCCAGCCAAGGGTGCCTAGTCTAGGTGACGTCTTGACAACTATGCTTAGCAGATCCTTAATTACTCTCCTTTTCCCAACACTCCCTAGACCTCTAACATTCCAACTGACAATCTTCATTAACTTGCTAGGTAACCCTTGTTCTACCACTGAATGCTCCCTACTTGGAATCTTTCCTTCTAACCCCTCAGGCACTGAACTCAATGTCTCCCTCAATATCTGAGATTAATCCACTCCACCTCTGACCTTTTCTTCTTTTTTTCTTTTTCCCTTTTCCTTGTCCTTCCCTCTTATTTGAAATCCTCACTTCTACTCCCTCTTTCAAGCTCCGAACAAACTTTCCATTAGTCACCTTATTTGGACTTCTGTCTGAAATCTCGTTACTTATCCTTTCTGCAATTCACTCTCCTTTCTCTCAAAGGGTCCTAGTTGGCTAGGATGGCCTAAAGCTTCTTCCTTTGCACTATACTCCTCTAATAACACACAAATTTGTTGACAGATTCTTTCCAACTCCTCCTCCTGGTCTCTCCTATTGAATAAATCCATCTCCTCTCAATCCTGCCAACAACCTCAGGTCTTGCTTCAGATACAACGGTTTGTGGCTGGGATGCTCTATTTTTAATCCGTATCTACCATATATGTACCTAAAACACTTCAGGAGGATGTGTTCGTGGATGAAGACTGAGCTTCTCTGTACCAGGGTTTTCAAGGTTTTTAGCTCGAGTCTGGTTTTGTCTGAGTCTTTGGTTTGTAAGTTGTGTTCTTGTTTTTTCGGTGTTGTTAAAGGGTCTTGTCGTTTGTTTTGTTAGGTCCATTAGTTGTGTTCCCCTTGATGATATCTTATCATCTCTTCTGTTGTATCTCTTTTTCCTTTTTAATGAAAATTTCTCTTTACTCTTAAAAGAAAAAACCAAGTTTGACTTGAAATTCAAATAAACCAGTAAAACCACATAGAATGGCTCTTTAACCTACATATGATGAAAAATAAACTCAATATCAGATCTGAGTGTCATGTCTACTTTCTACTTGCTGTAATTCTGTAACTGATTCTCTTAACTGATAAAATTATTCTCCTTTTGCTGCTCAGAAAAAAAAAACTGATCGTAAATAATGCATATAAATGATTTTCTAGTAACGACTTTTAAACAAGTCTCCTTTACAAAACTAAATATAAACAAAAGAAATGACAAAGTAGAGAACTAATTCTTAATTGAATTTATTTGAATCACATTAAGTCTTAGGAATTGTATAAGTTGATAAAATTTATGAATCAAATTTTAGGTTTCAAACAAAAATCGTAAGATTTTGTTTAAATCATGAATCACATTGTAAATGGTAAGATTTTGACAACATAACAAATCCCAAAAGTTGGGAAAGCTAAAACATAGCCAAAAGCATACAAAGGCAAATGCCATTTTGGGAATAGATCCCCCTAAGCCAATTCTATCTCTACTCCTCTAAACATGCTATCATCCATGGGATTTATTGATCTTTTGGTGTTTGAAATTTAAAAATTGTCTTTAATTCTGCACTTCCTAATTGAACTTTAATTCGTTGGAATTTGTGTAGGGCTGTTGCTTATATCCCTCTAACAGTTTTGGCAGTTCCAGCTTCAGTACTTACTGTAAGCATCTAACAACTACTCCTGATAATCTGTGCATTAAATTTTTTAATGTTGCTTATTATAGACAATCTTTACGAAGCTTATGGGCACTTAGGGTTTCTAGTTCAGTAATGGTCCTTAAATTTGGCTTTTTTTGGCTTTAGGTATTGCTTGTGATCAATGAAACATGTGTAAAGTGTGTTATTCTTTCTTGTCAACAATTATAGGAACTAGTATTTTTAATGCATATATTCTCTACTACATTCCCTGATGGGAAAATCTTGATATTAGTAGACAAAATATATCCTAGTATAATCCACTACTTCATATCAATTCATACATATATTCATTTATCTCTCCCATAGAATGTGTGTAAGCTTATTCTAAACATGCAACATTAAGATGTTTTTTTGTGTTTTCTTAGGTATTGCGGCTATTGCCTCAATTCTCAGAAGTAATATGGGAATTAGAGGACTGTTTTGGTGAGGGGGTGCTCACAGTTAGAACTGAACCATGGGCACATATTTGATTTTTGATTTTTCATGAGCACCCCTTACTGGACCAATGATAGGTTGTTAATGCAGTGATTATATTTAGGGTAAAGTGAACCCATGGACATTGTACAATTCTAGTTTCTAATAAGATCTGGACCTGTGTCTTACTGTTAGGAATGTGTGCCTGACTGGTACACTTAACATATTACCTCTTTTTCATTCCTTTATTAGACTTGATATGGGTAATGGTTGTATAGTTAAACTTAAGGCCTCTTTGCTTGGCTTCCCCACACATTTTCTAATATAAAATATAGTGCTTGTATTGATATATGGCAAAAATCTATATGCTTCTACACCTGTACCCTTGTACACCAAAAGCCTCTACAATGAGAAGAAATATATGAAAAGAAATTTATACATCAATTTCTGGTTATAAACTGTTTCGACTGCTGCTACAGTAGTCCGAACAGGAAGAAGAAGAAGAAGAAGAAGAAGAAGAAGAAGAAGAAGA